GGTTAAAACACTTGAATGAGACACTAAACTAACTCCCCTTCGGGACTAACCAAGGTTGGTTGCGTTTTACAAACTTGACACCCCCCCCCCTAGGAGCTCCGAAAGGAGCGCCCTGCTCTAGTCTACTATAATTTACGAGGATTTTTTATGGCGTTGCAATTATAGGACGATAAGACTTTTCCAGGTTGGGATAATTTCCTCTAACATTTATTTTTATGCAAAGAGCACGGGAAGATATTTTGATGAAGTCAATGAAAAATGTAGACTAGTAATTAAGGAGGAAATTTGTAATTTATTCAATTCATAGTCAAATCAAGGAAATTAAAGAATGATGAGACGAACATTGATTGTAGCCTAATGCATAAAGTACTGCTTCGTCACAAAATTAGAACGTTGTCTCATTCCGTTCTTATCCGAGAGTCCACAATTGAGTTCAAGATTATCAGTCATCAATCGCCATTGCAGGCACATTGTCGTATGATAGTGTGCGGTAAGTTGCAGGCTACTTGAGTTATCGTGAAGAGAGCGTCACATGTTCAGTAATGTTCAGTATATTCATCAATGTTTATAAAAATAACGTCAGTATGTACGTCAATGAGCTCGGTAGTACAGAGGTTTATGGTAGGCAGGTTATAAATATTAATAACTCTAGAGCTTTTAAGTCATTATATATTCTAATGTATTTTCCAAACGGTTTCAACATGGGCATTTTGTTCTGGTTTTAATATCCGAGTCCCATAATTGCGCTGTACAATTTCATAGGCCTGGGTTATTATATGCCACCATTTTAAATGAAAGGAACATTATGGTCGACCCTAAATCTTATCCCAGTAGTAGGTAATTTTACGAATACGACTTGACTTGACCTTGTTCTGATTTGTTCCTTAATTCTTCCCGTTCTTCCTACATGGGTCATCTACCTTTTCCAGAACTAGGGCCGCATTCACACTTGTTTAGCGACTCGCTGATCGTGAAGTAAAAATGAAGACTTTCATTGGAAAAACTTCATGACAGTTTATTAAAAGCGCAACTAGCTTACTATTGCTGATTTGTACATATCACTCAATATTTTCTTTAATGAAATCAATCATTAGTGGGATATCTGACGCTACGTTTGCTTGAGAAGTACTCTCTTCCAATATGTTTCTCCATCAAATTGTGTATGCATTCTTCTCCTAACGCCTTCATACTTGGTGAGATTTATCACGGCAGCGTGTATGAAGAAGGCTGACTATCTTGTAGGTTCTTGGCGCCGTTGCAACAATCCAGAAGACAACCATATTCATCATACCTGTTTTTCGAAACTCTGGCAGATAATCCAGAAGGCTGTATATCGGGCACATATGATATATAATACCTTTCGTTAATATAATTCTTTTCAGAAGGTTAATCTTGAGCGCTATTTGATTTTAGCTCACAGAGTATTAGGCCTTGTGAAATTGCTTACTCGTCTAGGATGAAAGGATTGGAATTGGCATATAGAGAAGATCTATGGACACAAGTCATTATTTTTTATGAATGCACAAAACATTTTAATATAAACTTAAAAATTCGTACAACAATATGAAAAATTATAGACTATTATACACATGTATATTATAATTGTAACGGGATGGAAAATTCCGTTCTCACTATGATCCTGTCGGCCTCGCTACATATTAGTGTATATTAGGTATATTATAATATGAATATCTGGCCATCATGATGACCGCTGAAACACGTAATAGTATAGCATAGCATAGTATTGTATAGTATAGTATAGTACATACTGTAGGTACTTTACGGACATCCATTGTTATAGGCCAATTCCCTCATCCACGTTGACTCGTGGTGGAGCCTAAAGCTACAGTGGAGAAGAGAAGAAAACCATCATTGGCAGGGGGGGTCATTTTACAAACAGACATAATTCTAGATTAATAAGCTTTTCAAATAATTAGCACAGTAAAACAGAGGAAAGATCCATCACAAAAACCGCCCTTATTTATGTATAAGTATATAGTTTTTATGTTAGTGCAAAGATTGTTTTTCATACTCTATTCCAAACTTATATACGTTTGACACCACGTTTACGTACATGGGGTTACAACAGCTATTGTTTCATTTCAAATTAAATAATTTTAAGATATGTGGGATGCTTTTATTAAATTTGCAGGAAATAATTTGAATCTGTGTGAATTTTGTTTTAATAACTGTGGCTGACACACAACTATGAAACAACGTGGCGTGCTTCAGAGTTGATTCCTCAGACCCCACTGGTTTTATCACAGTTTGTAGACGTGAAAGCGTCTTGGTTTCTTCTTTTATAAAAAAAACCTAGAGTCTCAAAATTCTGCATTTAATCGATCCAACAAAGTTATATTGTCTGTCTGGGCTCAGTTCTGTGTGCACGATAAACGAGTTAGCTTGTGTGAACTCGTAGCGTACTTTGAGAGAAATACTTTTGAAATATTTAATTAACTTTACTATTTTGAGCTCTTTCTTCTCTCTCTGGATTTTATTAAATAATTATAGGGTAACAGTGAATTATTGAAAGAAAACGTGCCTTTTAATTTTTACAAAGTCTCGAGTAAAATTAATCTGTTTTATCCAATCTTTTAATTGAAATAGTACCTAAAACATGTATTTTTTAAAAGTTTAAACAACAAGTACGATGAAATATGAAGAATAGAAGTATCTATATGTTATTGGTAGTGGGGTATCAGCTAGACCCATACAAGTAATAGGTCTGATTGTGTTGCTATTCAGGAGTGATACGAGCGGAGTTTGCGCATTGTGGCTAAGCACTGTGCGAGAAGCAAAGCAATTTTGGAGATCCTACAGTATGATACTTCTACGTTTACTAAAGTGTTAGCCAAATCTGTCAAACTATAGTGCCCCAATCTAAAAACAAAAATAAGGAAGTGCCTAAAGAAAATATTTCTTTCTTGTTTCATATCGTAACGTGCGCGCACCTAGATAATATCGAAGTGATATTTTAAGAATATAAATAAACGAAAGTATCTCAGCATTCTGAAGAGCTGAAATTACGATGTTTCTAGAAATAAGGTTGTCTGAAGAGATAGCAAATGCCTCCTCACGCTTGGCCACTTCACACAAATCCTCCTGGTGGCGTGTAGTAGTATGCACAGAAAATGAGAACAATAACAGCTAGTGATTGATATTTGTATTGTTTATAAGCAAGTCTAAAAATAACATGTACTTCATTATCTATCATGTACTTAATGTAGCGTCGCACACCGTTCAACACGGTGAAAAAATCAACGTTGAAGCTTAGTTTTCTAAACTGCAACATTACAATAATAATTAGCGACTGACCTCTGTCGCAAAATTAAGCGTTATTTGCGGGGTGGTTTGCGCTGCAATTTTCCACCTGTCCGCGGAAGAAAAAACACCCGTTTTCTGGAGGGAGGTACAGAAATAAACATGACGACAAATTCAGAAATTATATTCGCCTGTAATTTACTCGATATCTATTAACGTCAGTTTATATATATAAAAGAATCATGTAATGTTCATTACGTATTTATGTAGCCTAAGTATACGAACTATAAAGTCATGAAAAAATATGTTGATTGGGTTTTGTCCTTTAAACTTTTACAGTTGTATAAGCTACCTGTGACACAATTACACGTTTACAGTTCTGAGGGAGGAGGGTGCTTTGTGTTAACAGGGTCCACTTATTGCGCAAACTGCCGTAGAAAAATTACATGCACTATGATGCCAGTGTGTTGTATTAAATGTGGGAAATTCAGTTGTCTCTCAAACTGTTTCTTCTGGAAACATTTTTCTCTTCATTGACAAAACCAATTGAATCGCTGTTAAGATCTCAACGACCCACACACACACACATACACACACACACACGCGCGTCAGTCATATGCAGACCGAAGGTTTTGATTGGCCAACAGTAAACCGTTCCATAGTCGAGAAACTTCCAGTAAGTTCGTTCTATTGTAGGTAACCGTGAATTCCTACTCTACAAATATATTGACATAATGAATTTAATGTTGACACTGGAAAATCACGTTAGGTAAAAAAGATAAATGTAATAATCTTCACAGCACTGTCAACACGGTTCCATTCGCCATTATCAATAATATTTACATAAAAACAATTGCTTCGTGTTTAATAATGAATCAGTACTTTAAATTCTGGTTAACTAATCCAAAGATAACATTTAAGGAAGAATGAAATAGCCAACCTAGAAATATCTTTCTAGAAAAACGGTTCTTAAAGCTCGTTAAGATAAATATTAAAAGATGTCCCGAGCATAATAATCAAGACTAGATAAAATTAAAACACATTTTGATCAAAGGAAGGAAAAATTGCAAATACACGATGAACTATTATCAAGAATGAACAAAAAAGGCAGCAGAACACCTATTGATATAATAGGCATCAGTGCTGTACATAAGGAGAAACAAGGCTCTTTAATGAGAGAATGATGAGGTTTATGCAGTCCAGAAGTTTAAGAACCACTAATGTAGATTTGTCGAATTGGAACTTCTGGAGGCGAGTAGTCAACCACCACAGGTAATGCGACTTTTTCGACCTGCCTAAGCCATCGTCGGCCATAATGTATTTTGTACCTCCAAATAACGAACAGCGTACAAATGACTAACAAACAAAAGGCAAACTCTGTAGTACCAGTCCTTGCCTTCAACCCTTCTCCTAACATTATTATGTAACAATAACCAACAGTCAACTGTCATCTTTCACAAGATAACTAATATCAGGTACCTTTTACCATTTCCTTATTGTTAAACTTGCAATCATTTAAGGTAAACCACATCCCATAAAGTTTAAGAAATATTACATCAAACATAACAATATCATTTTAAACAAAAATATATTTTGGTAAAAACAATAACTATAGCACTATTAATCTATTCAGTAATAATCAGTGAAAAAATAAAGGAACAAAATTAAAACAAAGTATGAAAAATCTATGGACTACCTAACAACTCTGTACAGAAAGACCTAATAATATTTATACAAGTCTGAAATATACCTGTAAATTATCACCTATGGGTCACTGATGTTACACATGATTTTTATTTCACGGTGGAACTACAATGTTTACCGCATGCTATAACGGAATATTCCAGTTTGTATGTGCACTTACTTTTAGTGGTATTTACTGACTTTATATTAATTTTATGTATCAAACCCACTGTGTTACATTTGCAAAGTGCACCTACAATTCTGGCTGCATGGTATGCCGTACAATGTCGCGTCCATTCTTTTGAACGCGCAACATTTTTCTGTACATATTCTGTTATATTATGCGATACAAATACTGATCTTAGGACGCCGTAAACGTAAACCTGTAGCGTGTTTTAGCTCATAAAATATGAATAAAATATAGACTAATCACCAATTGATATTGTAATAGAATTATTTACAGTAAAGATTACATACACACGCACACATAAAATGCATGCATTTGTTTCATTTACACATATAATATGCATGTATGTACTGCACATTGGGATATAAAACACTTGTACAAAGGTAACTATGTAAAAGTTCTCTACATACTTCTGTCATCATACAGTTTTAACGAAAGTCTTGCCATGATCCTCCTGTGAATGCCAGTTTATAGCGCAAAATAACATATGTCGATAAATTAGACAGTTTCACCTATCAACTACTTGAAAGCGGCACGTATTGCAAAAAATTGTTGATAAAGCATTAGTTTACTGCAAGCAGAGTCCAAATTTTGGAAAATAATTATTTTGAAACAGCTTCACACGAATCTTGTATAATGTATGTGAATTGCACTTCTTCGTCAATAATAAACAAGACGGATTTTTGTAATTAACTCAAAATAACGTTCAACTCCAATTGTATTCATAACCACGGAACAGGCATCCGTGATAAAGTAACTTCAGTGTAAAATATTTTGAGTTTTCGTAATTCAACACAGCCTAGCTTTGTCAGGGATGAGAAAACTTGCTTTGTCTGTTCCTGAAGGGAAATAAAACATAGGAAGTGCAAAACTGCTCTGTTTGGAAAGTGGAGCAACTTCAGCTATAAACTTTGGAGTATCCAGCTCATAGCTACAAAACTAATAAACTTTTCATTACTTCAGATTTTGCTAATACACAGAAGTCCAGATACTCCACACATTCGGAAGGATCGCTTCGAACCTTTCGTCTTCACACGTGGCAATAAAGAAGTTCCACTTGATTTTATGCCACGCAGTTGTGAATTGAATAGAGGCTTTCAGGAGCTCGGTTTTGAAATGCTGATGCCTTGCTTCAGTATAATTATGGCTTAATTTGAGAAACTTGGTCATGTCGAACAGTTCTGTATTTGTAGGCTAGCCCTTCTTTATACCCACTTAGTATTAGTGAAATACTTAGTATGAATAATGGTTGAAGTACAAAAGAAATGTTTCTATAAAAAGTTACAAAATTATCCAAAATGTAAAATATAATGAAAAATGTATCTATCACACTATTCAATTAAACATGTTTTGTCTTGTAAACATAGCCTGTATGAATAAACAAGAAACTTACAGAGCATTATAGATTCATTTATACTGACATAAATTTTATCTTATACATAGTTTAACAATACAAAGATGTTTCTGTATTTTCATATGCGGGGATCGCATTATACCTTTATCAATTTACAGCATATCCTCCCAATTATGAACACATTTTAAAACGTAGGAACGAAATTCAGATGACATGAGTATAATAAGTCGCGGAGATACTATTTTGGTTTAAGTGCAATTGAATCGCGGAACTTAGTGAATTTTATTTCGTCAGGGAATTACTTAAAGATAGTTTCAGACTTGGAGCACAGTAAGAATTCTACGAGCTTCGCGAAATCTTCTGAATTCCTTCCCTCAAGATACCGAGGGGCAAGAGAAATCTGGAAATACGACTAACATTTCGTAGGGCGAAAGCACTGAATTTCATATCATGTCTGAATGTGTTATTTCCGTAGGCCTATGAATGTGGAAGAGAGAAAAGACAAATTAATAAGTACTTTCCGTATCGCTAGCTAATTATGGGTTTCGAAACTTTTCTCAAACTGTGCACCTCGTCGAATATGCATGCCACAACGAAAACTGTAACTTTCTTTTCGTTGTCGCAAACAACAGACGCGAGCAGCAACATTTACCCTGGTGTAGGCGAGGCCTTGTTGCTGATATCAGTGTGTGCAGGTGGGACTAGACGTGATGATTAGTGTACTTTGTATTATTTACAAATTATGCACATTTTATTATGTCTATTATCGCACATATTAACAGCGTTACTTTTATATACCTACTCCAGTGAAAAAATAAATGGATTTTTATACATTTGTTTTATATATGCCCAATTTGCCTGGTGCTGTTTCGCTGCATTGCCATGTTATGAAATAATAAGTGATAACAAATATTGTTAAAACCTTAATTCCGTTCGGATTTTGTCCAAAACTATTTTTATTTGTGTGGGGCAACGCGCAGCTTTGCTGGAATAAGCATCGCATATGCCAGTAGGTGAAATCTACTTGGTGATGACGATCCCTATTAATATAGCCAGGATTAATTGTTGAGCATTTATGTTTGATTATTTTACTGGAACCGAGGATGTTTATTTTGTCGGTAAGTTTGCACTCTGCAGTCTTCTATGCCACTTTTTTGCAATTTATTCAGTGTGAAATGAGAATTAACATATAACATCAGACGGGCATTACATCTGCTACAGCTTTATAACAATATAATCCATGATAGTTCACATTCCTCTATTATTTCCTTACATTTTAAAGGCAAACAGCAAATAAAAGTCGTTAGTGAAACGAATAATTGGCGCAGTGTACTTAATTTATAATATGCAGACCAGTTAATAAAGTTGTGCACAGTAAACAAGCATCAGTAAAAACAATTTCAGAACAGAAAAACAAATGTTCCTGTGCCTATCGGATAGACAGACGCAGGCGAGTAACATCTGTGGCCTAAAGTTTCAGTAAAGACTGGTTGTTTAAACTTTGGAAATAATGAAAATTTAATAGCTTATGGGTAATGACGTAACGCGAAAATAAATAAGAGGATGACATATATGCAGATACCAACAACAAAGATTTACCCTCTGCGTGGATGTGTAATTGCTAACTCTTCCCACCCTGTTCTTGCTGATTCGACTGGATTCTTGTTTCGACTGTATAATACAAAACTCCCTTGCAACTCACTATTGGAGTCTTTTCAAATACAGCAATAATCTTGTGCTGATATTATGGTAAATATTCTGGTCTGGTCGCCGGTTGGTCTTGGCGGTAAATTGCGTCTGCTCTGTAATTAATCGTGTCGCTATTTTAGAATAGTAGCAAGTCTGCCCCAAGAAAATGTGGAATTTTGGTTCGGTAGGTTATGGGTTTTCATCGGCGAGATTCTCTGTTTATTGAGTTTGCCGGTTGGTGTAAGAATACACGAGGATATAATGTGAATATAAATGCACCAAAATTTAAGGCTAGGGGATGTAATTATGACATATACGTCGGAGGGCATGTTAATGTCGTAGTAGTTCGGAAGTTCGGAGGCGTTTGCAGAATTGACTTTCTAGGAAAGGATTAAAAACACAGTCCTTCCGAAACATTGGTTGTTGCGGGTAGTTAGTTTGCCACAAGGAGGTGTTGGTAGGGACTGGGCGGATAAGGAGCCACGGAGCCCAGGCCGAAGTTGTTGAGGCCTTCAAGGAGTTGCTTGCCGTTGTCTTGAGGAGCTGTCGAGGACGTGGCATTGTTGTTGACCTGGACACTACCTTGGTTACTGGCGTTGGTCGAAGCTCCATTGTAGAACTGGTGGCCAACAGAGGCAGGGTCTAGATAGGACGAAGCGGTGGCTCCCGGAAACTTGGTCGCTGCTGCTGGGTACAGTTCTGGCATGTAAGCAGCAGCTGCGGCTGCCTCGAAGAGATTGCGATGCGGAAACTGTGGATGGTACGGGCCAGCAGGTTGAAAGAAGTAGCCCGTCGGGTCTGGGGGCTGTTGCCCCGCAGTGACTGCTGCTGTGTTAGGTGACAGAGAGCGCCCGGTGGGGGACGGCGGCGCTGCTTGGTGGTGATGGTGGTGGTGGTGGTGATGTATCTGCTGCTGGATCGCGCGCTGCTTGATATAGTTGGAGAACTCTGTCGGGGACATTCTGAAAACAGCGATGTATCAATACATTAAAGCTCGGGGAAATACTTCGTCCTCGACCGAAGGGAAAACAATGAAGGGAAAGTCAGACAGACCTCTTGTTTGTAATTCTGGTATTTTAATGAAGTAATATTCTGTTAGCATCCAATACCGTGTTTAGGACTGTAAGTATGACTATTGAGATAATGTGCGACGAAAGGAAGAAGCAAGAATCGGGCTGTTCTGAGATTTGGGGGGGGGGGGGGGG